CCCCCCGCCTCTCCCCCCCCCCCCCCCCTCCATCGCTGCTAATTAATGTCGGGGACCGGGGCTGGCGGCTTCGGTGTGTGCAGCGACCGCAATGAGCAGTGACCGCCATCATCAAGCTAAACCATGGGGTGTTTGTGAAACTGGAGGCAAACTCTTGTCATAAACCCCAAAGCAGGGGGGGTTTCTCATGGGTTCGTGGTGGGTGTGTTTATCTCAAATGTTTTATGGCCAGCTCCTAGCAATGCGTATGAAAACTTAGCAACTGTCTCGATTTGGCTTTTTGTTTAACTGGCTGTCGTTTCCCTTCTGTATCTTTCAGTGGTGTTTCTTCCATGCAGTTTTATTTCTAACTTAATTTTTATACTTTAAAATATATTAAGCAGGGTTTACCTAACTGCTATCCTAGCACAGCGTGGTATCGGTGTGTACTTTTGAAATGTCCTGTTTGCATCTGGATTACAAAGTTTTTATATAGATGTATTTTATCATTTTAATAAACATAATAAAATTTTATTTTGCTGTCACTGCATGTGATAGAGCACAGTCCTCCTTTTTTGCAGCACCAGCAGGTACTTCTAGATGATCTACATTTATATTGTTATTTTCATGCCAGAGGATTTTAAATCATTTTATAGGCTTCACTTAATAATAATGTGTAGCCACTTCATGAGTGGGACATGGCAGCATAGAAACTTCAGGCCAGTTTAACTGGAACTCACGTAAGATTTTTGTCATTGGGAATGCTTTAGAAAAAAATAAATCTAATGCCCTACTATCATGATAATGCATTTTAGTAATCATACATCCTAGACTTAAATGTCTCAATTTTTAGAAAATACTGGCATGCAGCCTCTTAAAAAATGCAGAGTCCTCTACCAACTTTATAAGCACCTAGGCCACGTAGTACCAAATTTTTAGGAGCCTTCAGCCTTTTTCTAACTGCAGCTGATAAATTCAGCAACAGAGCACTCTTGTCTGCTGGTAAAAGCACCCGAAAAGATACAGCTTTTGTTTTGCTTAAAAGAAGGCATCGGAAATATGACATAAATTGATGTTATCTTACCATTTTAGTAATCTGACACAAATTGAAAATCCTAAGCTTGCTTGAGACAGAGTGGCATTGCACAAGTGGCAGGAAGTAGTCAGCTTCCTTACAGGAGGGTGATAAAGCAGACACGAAGGCTTTTTTTGAAAATGCTGGGCAAATAATCTGGACAATATAAGGCTGAAAATGTAGCTTTATAACATATCTCAGTGCTTGCAGCTAATAAAAGTGAGTATGTTATTTTATAACACCTGAACAATATTTTTAGTCATAAAACCTCATCTCAAAAGGATCTTTAAATTCAAAACAAAATTGCTTCACAGGCTGACCTAGCCACTAGTATTTAATTAGCTACTGGGTAATCATTCTTTTTTAATGTTTATGTTCATGATTAAAGTCATGCTGTTTGCGTGCTCTGATTCTGCAGAAATAGCCATCAGCTACTGAACAATGGGCAGATAATATTTATGTGTGGAAATTTTTTCACTCTTCTCAGAAACTGCTCCGAGTCATAGCAGCTTCATCTTCACAGTTCTGAAAACATCCGAAATTGTGTCTTCTGCTAGCACGTCGTTTTACATCTTCAACCTCAGCATAATCAGTGTGTTTCTGGACATGTTGGAGCAGGTTGGACCCGTGTGGTGCCCACAGTACACAGCACCCCTTTAGAAGAGGAGAGGTTTTTTGTCTCAGTTTCCTTCTTCTCCAATCCCATGAGAAGATTCGGCTCTGGAGGCCCTCAACAACATGAATCACAGACATTGTCTGGAGTCTGCAATTTGACTAAACAGTCCATTCTTTCAAACAAAAGCTACCATGGAGATTCTGTTGTTGAAGAAGTTAATCACTTAGTTGGAAAAATCCATGTGTAAGGTTGGGCAAATTACTAAAGGAAGTAAAATACGGTTTTGAATTGTTAAGATGTTTCTATGGCCAAGCTACACATTACCATAATTTGGTCGGGAGTGTTTCTTTTTTTGTTTTTCTCCTTACAAAAATATATCCCTCTTCTGAATATTCCACCTGGGCTTTTAACTGCTGTGCTGGAAAGAAAGAAAAAGAAGGAGTGAGAACCATATCTCAACTCGGATAGGGGCATTTATCTCTCAAAACAGGGCCAGGGCAAAGGCTAAAGCTCAGAAGAGCAAGTAACCCTGCAGTTATGCAAACACAGAGCAGAGGATTTGCTGCTCTCTGTTCCGTAGATAGGCACAGTTTCTCAATTGTCTGATATTTTTGACATATTTTTGCAAGTGTGTAGAATAAGAATAAATCACATTTAAATGAGAAGGAACACATTCATATTTTTTTGTCCAGATGTAAGTAACAAAATAGGTAAGGTACTAGAGAACGAGAAGGCAAGTTTTTAAAAACCTCCTCTCAAATTTTAATGTGGAGTTCAATCTGTATTGGGGCAGAGACGTGGCGAGGTATGAATCCGCTAACACTTTTTCACCATAGAAGCGTTTTTTATTTTCATTCCTATATCCAGTCTTTTATAAGCCCAGCACAAAGAACCTCATGAAAATCAAAAAATGGCAAGGCCATCTTTCCTTCAAGCTCTTTTGAAATATGTGCAGTAATAAGATCGCCTATTAGAAGCAGGTGATGTTTGAAGTCATGTATCTAAACTTGCTGTAGGGAAGGCGTTTCAGGTTAGAAAAAGAAAGAGGGACCTGGGTCTTGGAAGACTTTGCTCTGCAGTCATCTGCTCTGATGCTAATTTTCTTTTGAGTTATTATCACTGATGTGCCTCTCATTTTACCTGGGCCTGGATGAGAGATGCAGCGGGTAAAAAGGATGGAAGAAAAGGAATGCAAAAACCTCATGTCCTGCATAAGCTGGCAGTTCTGACCTGCAGTATCTTTCTCCAGTGATGTTGGGCGTTTAAAGATGTCTGCGCTATATGGCACTAATATTTAAAGGATCGGGAGATTGTCGCCAAAATTGTTTTTTGCTGGCCCAAACCTGTGTTACAATGTTTTGTTCACTGGGTGCAAAAATTTGCCTATTTTGGTTTTGCTGATGATAGAAATGTTGGAGTAGGAAACAAAATCAGTTTATTCTCTTTATGATGAGTGGTAGTTTGTACCTCTACCCTTTTCAATGGATGTTTTGCTCCAGTGGTATTTTAATTAAAATAAGGTAAGTTAATCTTTTCCTAAACTTTTCATCAGCTGATCACATCCATTTCCCATGTAGGTATTTGGCCATCCCAAGTACCAAGAATCCAAAAGAATTGCAATCTTTCTGAGCATGCCAGATGAAATCCAGACAGAAGAAATCATTAAGGACATTTTTAAGCAAGGCAAAGAGTGTTTCATCCCACGTTACAAGCCTCACAGCAATCACATGGACATGCTAAAGTTATCGTCAGCTGAAGACATTTCTTCACTTACTTTGACATCCTGGAATATTCTTCAGCCTAGTGATGATGACAGTGTAAGAGAGGAGGCTCTTGCTGGTGGTGAGTATTTTCTTGCTACATTGTGGAGTTGTTGAGTGGGAGTAGCCTTGAGGCCAGTAGGGAACGATCTGATAGTAAGAGTGAAATGAAACATATGTTGTAGAGGTGCTTAAGTCAATGTAAGCAGATGCTCTTTTTTCTTGCCTGTTTTTCTCGACCCTGTGCCACCCCTGTGATATGTCAGCAGGGCAGGAGCAAGGTGCACGGTTGATGCAGTTGAAGGAAACCCAACCCTCCAGAGATCAGCTTCTTGGTCCGGTTCATGGACATCCTCAATGCAGCCTTGGCAAGCATAACAGAGGCTCGTGAAGGAGACAGGGGCTTGCCGGGAATGGCTTGGGCTACCATTGAAAGTCATGGGATATTCACAGTTTTAGGATGCACTCTGAGAACTTTAGTTTCCACTGCTTGTAAGGTAGGGAACTTTGAGGTGGTGCCTGTAGGCTGACATGAGGATTTTCTGAAATCTTTGATCCTACAAATGGTACTGTATGGATGAATCACAGTGCTGATACGGAGCCTGCCCATGCAGAACAGCTCACCGGACTGAGACCTTAGACTGAAAATGAAGGGACTTTCTTGTAGGCTTGGATGAATATTGCAAAGTCTTTTCCATCATTATTCCATCACATTTTTATTTTGATCTTATAATGCCATCTCAGACACTGGATTCTTCGTAGAGTTGAAGAGTTAGAAGTTCATTTAGATCTAGCTAGTGGCATGTGTGGTTTGGTCCCAAAATAACCTCTCTTTCTTAATCTAAAATCCCCCAACTTGTACAAACTTGTAAACAAACTTACTTTTTCTGTGTCTGCATTCATTATTTGCATTGTTTTTCTAAACACATTAATGTCTTCTTGAAACATCTGCAGAAATGTTTAACGTTATTAATGGAAAACTCATGTTGAACTCATGCTTGAAACCTCAGTCTGGGAAAATTTTCTCTAGGTGGAAAGTCACCATGCAGCCAGCTTCCACACCTCACAGACTCACTAGCTTTTTAGTGCTCAACAAAGGAACATAACATTTATATGACTCTGTTTGGTTGAACTTGGGTTTGTATTTGCTTTGGGATGCCAATGTGCTTTCCCCGAACACTTCCCTGTGTTTGTTTGTCTTTTATTTTCAATCTCTACCTCTTTCCTAATTCAGAATCCTTTCTGTGTTCACTTTTTAGCTAGTGAAGGATTTCACTGCTCCATACAACCATCTTATTTACATTTAATATTTAGCATTGTTACTTGTTTTCCCAATTTTTGTAAAAAATGTGTGTATATTGCTGGGATTTAGGGGCTTTTGAAGTTAAGCCTTAAAATTCCCAGGGTTCTGTTGACTGAGCTTAGTTCAGGCACTCAGGACAAGCTGTTGTACTACTGATGAGCTGCTGTTAATTGAATTTAACAAGTCTGCTGCAGAGATCACAGAGTAAACACACAATTTTAGGTATGATAGGAGCAAGGACTACCTGGTGTAGAGTGCACTGGGATGTACTGGTTGGGGATGGCCCAGGTGCTGGGTGGTGAAGATGGGGGAAGGCAGGATCAACCCTTTGTGCCTGGCTAGTTCTGGAGATGCTCTGCATCAGGGTGTGCCAAGAGAGCCACTGCAGTCTACAGAGAGAGGCCAAGAGAGCTACAACCAGCAGCTGTAACAACAGGTTTATGTCCATGTCAGAATAATCCAGCCTGAAGCTCGATTTCAGTCTGTTTATATTCTATTCCTGTACTCAGGGATAATTTGGTTTGGACTGGAAGTCAGACCTTGCTCCTTTACCCTTGGACGGTTTTTTGTAGATTAGAGAGTAAGTTTAGGTTTTTTCCACCATTGCATAATCAGACTTCCCTCCTCCCCTGAATTTGTTCCCACTGCAGCTCAGTGTGTCTTTAAGTTCCTTTTGCTATATATTTTTGTGTCATTATTATATTTTTTTAACTTTGGTACATTT